GCCGCTCTTCTGTGTGTCTATGTGTGTGTGTGTGTGTGTGTGTGTGTGTGTGTGTGTGTGTGTGTGTATGTGTGTGTGTGTGTGTTTTGAAAATAACTTTTTACATCAAAATAAAAAAAAATGAACATTAATCATTAAATCTTATTATGAATAGTAATGATTTAAATAAACAAATAAGTCATCTGACTTTTTAAAAGTCACATGATATTTTTAAGTGACATTGATCTTTCACACATGATTATATAACTTAAATATACTTTCTCATTTACTTATAAAAATGACTTTCTCACTTGATAAATCTCCCTAACACGCACTTGTCTCTCTCTCTCTCTATATATATATATATTATTTATATTTGTTTTATTCGTTATTTATACAAATAATGGATTAAAATTATGAGATTGATTGATATATTTGCATGCCATGATATTGTTCAGTATTGTCCATTTTTGTTAGTTTTATTATACACGCATTCCATATTTTTAAGTATTGTATTCACATTTGTTTTTAAGCATTGAAATTATTATTTGTTTCTTGTAGTTGTTATTGGATAAATTAAAGGAACTTTATATAATAAATAAGGATGTTGAGAAGCTCTCGCACTACAATTGCCCTTCCAAATCATTTTGTGAATTGGAAAATTTGACATTGAGCAACAACAAAGTGTTGAGTTCCATCTCTTTCAGCATGATCAAACAATTCATCAGCCTGAAAAAACTGACTTTAGACAAATGTGAGTTATTGATTGAGGTATTTAACCTCAAAGATGACAAACTAGATTATAATATCCAAGAAATGCTTCCTCAACTCAAGGCATTAACATTGAGTAGCTTAAGAAGATTGACATATTTATGGAACAAGGAACCTCAAGTTCCATTTTTCACCAATTTGGTGTCTCTTTACATTGTCCACTGTGGTACTCTCAAAAGTTTATTCTCACTTTCTAATGTCAAAAATCTTGGGAAACTCAAATTACTCAAATTGTACAACTGTGAGAAAATTGAAGAGGTAATATCCAATGAAAAATCTGAAAATATGTCTATCAGTTTCCCATTAATGGAATGCCTTGTACTCAAAAATCTTCCAAAGCTAGTCAACTTTTGTCAGCAAAATGGAACTTTCAATTGTCCTAACTTACAAATAGTGAGGGTGATAAATATTCCAAATATGGAAACATTTTCAAGAGGTAATCTCAACATGCCATTGTTGAGATCAGTTCATATACAATTTGCTAAGAAAATTTGGCTTGGAAGTTTGAATAAGACCATATCATATATGCACAAAGATCCAGGTATGTAAATTCTAATAATATTTAATAAATATCTCTTATTAAACACTTTGATAGGGCATATTTGTACATCTTTTTCTGCATTATTTTGTTCTCATTTGGCCTTTATGAGTGTCTTAAATTAGTAATTTGGTTGTGATTCACTTTAGTGGCCTTTAATGGTTTAAATTTTAATTTCTAGTTAATTTTCTTAACTTTCCCCATCTTGACAAATTGTCTTTCGCAGGTCATATCTCGGGCCTTTGAATTCAAAATTCAAAGTTCTCGTTGTCCCTGAAAGGTTAAGATAGAGATTTATAAAAGTGTCTTTCATAAGCCAAAGCTAGTTCTGATGGTTTAAGGCCCCAAAATACGTTTCAAAACTTTGCCTTTACACTTGAGTGAGAATTCTCATTAAGAGTAAAACTTAGAAGTTTAAACATGTAATTAGTGGGTTGGACTTGTAATTAACTGGATTTAGGCCCAATAACATCCGTGTCTGTAAATAAGTGTCAGTAGCTTGAGTTGTGTAAATAATCCTCATTTTTTAGATTTATTTTACACTTGTTTCTCTTGCAAATTTCTCTCAATTCTATTTCTTTTGCGCTCTCTCCCTATCTCTTGTGCAAATTTCTCTTCTATTTTTCTTTTTGATTTTGTTGCAACACTTTGATGAAAATGCTTAACTAATCCACTTAAACAATTCAAGGCTTCAAGGATTTTGATAAAATTTTGATTTAATTTTTCTATACAAATTCTTCATCTTCACCTCTTCTTTTGTAGATCTAATTTCATGATTTGTAATTATGAACTACATTTTTTGATCTAGATTTCAAGTAGATTGATGTCAATAATGTGACACCCTCTACCCCTTATATATAAATTCAATAATATAATACTAGTTTTCAGAAATACTTTATTTTTTAAATGGAAAGTTAAACATAAAGGTATCACATTCAAATTCCCAAAATAACAAGACTAAAACTAAAGTAAATTACATAGAATATCAACTAATACAAAAACATCTTCTAAGGAAAGAAACTTAAGCTCATAATTCAATAACAATGGAAAAATAGTTCCTAACTATCACCTGCACTTACATAACAAAACAAAAAATCGAAAATAATTAATTTGAACGTTGGAGTACCTTTTACAAGGGCACACCCCTCGACGCATACAGACAAAATGACTAAAATCAATTATCGACATATTACCTAGTTGGTAACCCTAACTTATGACCCATCAAGATGAGAGTCCATTAACATCAATATAAATAGTTCATATCTTGAGGTAAAATTACTATTCATAATTCATATTTATCACACAAAATAACGTATTTGAGCGTTGGAGTACCTTTTATAAGGGCACACCCCTCGACGCATACAGATAATCGGTTTAAAAGGAAAAAAAAAAAAAAAAAAACTAAAGGCATCGGCTGAGAACAAATAATTATTCTCGCACGGGTACACTGCAAAGTAACAAACCAACAAAACCATGCATTTTGCTACCTGTCACTATGCATTGTAATGTGGAAAGTACTATAATGTTTATCGTACATCATTTCTCGAACCAATGGGTTCTTAAACTACCTAAGAAAATGAATAAATCTTTATTCGGATTAACTTTTATAATTTGATTGAATTTCTTATTTATTTTATTCCAATTTTCACCATAAAACCAAGCAAGCCGTCGATTCGAATTGACCAAATTCGCTATACATATTTTTTTATATAACAAAATATATCTTCAATTAATAATATTGCTATAAAAACTCTAGTCTTTGATATTTTGTTCTCAGGGTAGGTTGGAGTCTATGGGATACTGATGAAACATCGCCATAAGACATTTAGACTTGAAAGCCAACAACTAGATATTTAATATAAGAATTTCAGAAATAAAATGGTTTTAAAAGTATTTTATTTGCCATCGATAGATATATCACGACTACGTACAATCATCTAAATCAGCTTAGCATTGGTAGGATTTTGGGGGGCAATCTGTGAAAGTTGATGACAAAACAAATCAAGCTTAACCCCGGAAACTATACAGCTTGATACATAAATCATTTTGGACATATTATATTATTATTTGTTTAAGAAGCCAAATGAGAGTAGAAATTAAAAAAATTAAAAGAAATAGAATTTTTCTTGTCTTTTATATATTCCCATCAAAACTTACAGAAAAACTAGAGCCAAATTCAAGTATTGGTGGACCAAGAAACAGTTAACAAAATTAATAGTGAATTTTTAACTTAATGGATGCATTAAATTAAAATTGCACGTATGTTAGGGTTGAAGCTGTCCAACACCAGGGAATGGGTAAGATGACCTAGAGCTAGGCTATTTGAGACTAATAAGAAAACTAAAAAAATATATTAACTTTCATTTCATAAACCCAACGGCCAAATATATAATAAATTAAGAGTTATTATGATATTACACGTGAACCAATAATAAAAACTTTTTTAGAAAAAAACAAAATACAAAAAAAAATTATCAAAATTATTGTTTTTATTTTATTTTATATATTTATAAATAAAGTCTTTCAACCAAGTGGGTTTATTAATTGGAACTACAATATCTTAAAAGTAGAGTTTTTCTTATTTTTTTACAGCAGAGAATTTTATGTTTTCTTTTAGCACAAGTTATTTTTTAAGATAAGAAGTAAGTAATCGGATCCATTAAATTTTTTAATTAAAGTAATTGGATCCATTTAGTTTTTTATTTAAAACGTCCAAGTCCCGATCAAAAAAGACATCATGTGCTTGCCTCGACATGATTTGTTGATATTATAAAACAACAAAGAAAGGCTGATTAAATTACTTAAGGAATAAACTTTTGCAAATCCATGTCTTTGACGCAAGGGTGCCATGTATTATCTTATTCTTTTCCAAATTGCAAAGTAAGCAAATCATGCATTTAACAACCCGATGATTAACTTCTTTAAAATAAATCAAATTAGAAATAAATGGTTTTAAATATATTTACCATCTGCAGACTCCTATATATCTTCTAAATCTGCTTGGCATTGGTAGCATTTGTTGGGTTCGGTTAGATCAATCCAATCCATCGATCTGATCCGAATTTCAGAACACTATTTTTATTTTCTTTTTTGAGGTGTAGATGATTGGAATCCAATCACAAACTAAGCGTTTAAGAAGCCAAATGAGAGAAAAAAAAAATAAAGAATAAAAAAAAAAACATTGTTAATATATAAAAATAAAAGAATTTCTTTGTCATTTATATATTCCCAATAAAACTCAATAAAAACACAAATATAAGTCTTGAACCAAGAAACAATGACAAAAATAGTAATTAAGCAACAAAATATAAAACAAGACTAAACATTTTATTTTTAACCCATAGCAATTAAAAAAAGTTTTGGTTTTAATGAAAATGAGTACGCATTCATTGGAACTACATATCTTAAAAGTAGAGATTTTCTTCTTTTTTATTGACAGCAAGATTTTTCATATATTTTTTTGACAGTGGGGTTTTCTTATGTTTTTTTTTTCACCAAGGTTTTCTTATGTTTTGTTTTTGACACCAGGTTTATGTTAAGAAGCAAGTAACCTGATCCATTTAATTTTTTAATTAAGCATTCAAGTCCCGATCAAGAAAGATATCATGTTCTTGTAATTTCTTGGCATTATAAAACAACCAAGAAAGACGTCAAATTGATTTTAATTTTAAAGATAGCAGGGAAGAAATTCGTGAAAGAAAAAACTAAAGGGATCAAAGCAATTCGAACTAATTAAAGTTATAAGATAAATAAAAATGTAACTAAACTAAAAATGTAATACAAGCCTAAACCTAGAACTTAAATGAGGATTATCGTGGTTAATGAAAAATATGGAAAAAGTACAATTCTAAGGGCATTGAATTTTGTATTTTTAGTAATTGAAGGACATTAATTAAAGAATAAAATAAAAGTAAATTAATACAGTGTTTCCAATATTTTAATTTTATTGTGATTTTAAATATAATTTTATTATGATTTTAATAAACACAATACTAATAAATTAGTAAGTACTTTTATGTTAATCGTTGATAAGATCCTTATTAACTCATATAGGGTAAAAGACTAATTAACAAAGGAAGTCCAAGTTTATTTGAAGAGAGAGAAGTTTGTTGGATTTGAAGTGAAGATTCAGACATATATATAATATATAGCAAGGACATTGATAGATTGTGTTGTAGTTACATTCATATCACTATTAGACCTCCGAGTGAAATAAGAGGAAGACGTGAAAATGTTGAAGGAACACCCATCAAGTTAGATCTAACGCAAGGTCAGAATTTTTCAACACTTATAGAATGGAACATGTCACTATTAGACCTCCCGGTCATCCCACTGCTAAAGCTAGACCCCCCCTTAGGGGACGCGTCAAGGCTACTATATTACGAACTGTCATAAAAGGTCAGAATTCTTGAACCACTATGTTCTTTTATAATATTTATTGAGTAAACCTATTAATATGCATTCTGCTTTCTGCCGCTCAAAGATGAGCCAACTTACATGTAAATTTTGATAAATATTTTTTCAGTTTAACTCAGAAAACCACACATACATATATACATATATATTCATGTACTCAATAAGTCATAATTAATTCATAATAAATTTCAAAGATACAATAATTAAATTAAAAAACTTTATCATATAGATTTAAGTGTATAATTTTTTTATAAAATTTTAAAATTATTTAATATTTCAATTCAAAACAATGTATAATATAATTTTATATATATTTATTAATTTAAATTTATGTTATAAAGCATTAAATGAATTCGTATTTTACAAAATTTTGCAAACTCGTTTATTCATTAAGAATATTAAATTTAATAGTTGAATTGTTGAAATTTATCGTAAATAATGAATTATAAAGTAAAATATTTCTAATAAAACTTACTCTTATTATAAGTGGATCTTTATATATAAGAAAGATCCACAAGAATAAGTTTTAATAGATTTATTTTATTTAATAATTCATATTTTATATCTCAATTATAATAATTTAGTTATTAAATTAAAAAATTTTAATATATAAATTAAGTCTTCAAATTTTGAAAAAATTTAAAATTATCTAATACTTTATTATACAAATTTAAATCAATATAAATTTAATAGATTTATTTTATTTAATAATTCATATTTTATATCTCAATTATAATAATTTAGTTATTAAATTAAAAAATTTTAATATATAAATTAAGTCTTCAAATTTTGAAAAAATTTAAAATTATCTAATACTTTATTATACAAATTTAAATCAATATAAATTTAATAGATTTATTTTATTTAATAATTCATATTTTATATCTCAATTATAATAATTTAGTTATTAAATTAAAAAATTTTAATATATAAATTAATCCGATCTTATATATATATGCACACGTGTATGTGGGACAGAAGTTAACCCAGATTAACTTAAAATCTAACGGTAAAAGTAATAATTAAAACCTAATTCTATGTAATCTGAGCATATGCAAACACTATAGAACAAAGAAGACAATCTAGCAAACAAAAGTTCAAAATGAAAGTGCTTTAGTCATCGGATTGTTATATGAGTAATAATATTTTTGAATAAAAATATATACACATTTGATTCCTTAGCGGTAGTGATGCCTTTTTCAAGATGAGCGAAACTTAAAAGTAAATTTGGATAAAGGCCACACATATAAACAGGGATTCACTTTTTTAGTTAATCTTGATTTATTTCACTTAATAACTTATTTTTATATTAAATTTTAACAATTTAACTTTTAAATTAAATTTTTTTAATAAATATATAAAATTTACAATATTTTATAATGAAATATTAAATAGTTTTTAAATTTTATAAACTTTTGTAGAATTGGTTTATTTATTAAATTTTTTTAATTTAATTGTTAGATTGTTGAAATTCAATATACACTATGAATTATTGGATATGATAATATTAACAAGATTTATCCTTGGAGAGTAATTTTTGATAGAATTATTTTATGACCCCTTTCCAAATTACATATATTAATCTTAATTAATATTTAGGTTACTTATATTTATATTATTATGGATAATATGTAGAAAAGATACTAAAACAAATGAATACATTTATCTAATTAAAGTTTTATTTTATAAAAATCATTAGATATTATAAACCATTTTTTTTCTTATGCAAATATCACAACTCAATAAAATAAACCACACCCCATAAGAATTCCACAGTTAAGCGTGCTTGACTTAGGGTAATTTAGAGATGAATGACTTTCCGGAAAGTTTTCTAGAAAGTGTGTAAGTAAAACTAAAGCACATTGAAAAGTCTTGTATTAGTTTATGCGGTTAGTCATTGATCCTAAAAATAACTCCTACTCCATTAATTAAAATAGTAATTATAAATCAAACTTTATAATAAAATAAAATTCATATAGATAATTAAATAATATCCAAATTATTTAATAAACATATCTAAAATATTAAATAATTATATAACATAATATTAATATAATTTTATGAAAAATTGGGATGTTATAACGTGATCCCAGACTGCGTGAGTGTTACTTGTGAAATCCAAGGATGGAAAAATATGTGTGCTTACATATGAGTAGCTAGCCCCACTATAATAGAAAGAAATATGATCATCAATGAGTATGTGGATGTTATTGATGGTTAAATAAATACAATATTAGATACCTTAAGGTTAATGCTCTTTTTACTTTGTTGTATTTTATTTTTCTCTTTTTTTTAAAAAAATTATTTTTTTACATTTTATACTCTTTTTGTCTTTATTATAAGTCATAATTTAGAGAAAAAAAATAATGATGGTCATTTTATTAAGTATTTTGCAATTTCTATAAGGATTGTGAGTATATATATCTCTAATTGTTCAATAACAAGGAGAAAAGTTGAAAAATAGATGTTTACTTTCACCTCTTGAACTCTTCAATTATTGGTTATGAATTTTATTGACAATGACTCATAAATTTTGATATACATTATAGGGTAATAATATCTTCATCTCTACCATGATAATTTAATGATAAGTTAGAAAAACCAAATTAATGTCATAATTTTTATTTTATTTTTTAAAATTAATTAAAATAATTACAGTGATTTTTATCACGAAAGAGTAGAATATTATTTTTAACATCCCCACGATCTCAAAAGTAATTAACTAGTCTTGAATGGTTGCTTTCTATTGATGAAGGCATTGTTCCTGTATACCGGGGCGGAAATGGAGGCGGAAATGGAGACGTACCGTATCTTTATAGTGATGAAGAAGAAGAGTTGCCTTTGATTAGTGTGGAAGAGTTGCCTTTGATTAGTGTGGAAGAGTTGCCTATGGTACGAGTAGCGTCTAGACTACTTCAAGAAGCCAAAGAAGCCACAATCCCAACCAAATTTTCTGAAACAAATAAACTACATTTTGAGGACTTACCAAACTTGAGGAGTTTATCATCTGGTGAAACTATCGAACTGCCATCTTTGGAGCATGTGATTGTGAACCACTGCCCCAACTTGAAGAAGTTCGGTTTGGGAACAATAAAAAGCTCACAACTGAAGTCACTCATCTTAGACGATCAAGTTCAAGGTGAAGACAATATTGATACAAAGATTGCCCATATTTTTTAATTTTTGGTCAGTTCTCCTCTCCTAAAACACTTTGTTAAGTACCGAAAAATACAAACATAGATATAATATAAGTACACAATAAAAAAGAATTCAGACATAATTATAAATTTCATTGCTTTTGGTCTAAATTATGTATATTGATAAAATTATTTTGTTTTAGTGAATACACTCCTTTGTATTTAACATTAAGAAAATTTTATTTTAATTAATTTCTTCTACTTAATTAAAATACTCAAACTTTGCTTTTCTTTCAAAATATTGAAATCCTTTTATTTTAAAACTTACCAATCTTAGAACATCAAATTTAACCCAAAACTAAATGAAATAAATAATTCGAAGTGATTCTTCTTCGAATGTTTTTACAATCTACAAATCCTTCGAATTTAATTCATTTTACACTAATGTTTTCTTTTCTAAATTTTTAACATTATTTTAAATCCTAGCGTAATAAACTTTGAAGTATTTTGAAAAATATGAAAATTGACATAAAGATTGAATGTACTTGATTTTAAAATTAGAGACATAACTTAAAAAAAAAAAAACTTAAATGATTATAATCACAAATATTTTAGAGTAAAAGGCAGAAAAATTGTAATTAAGTCAAAATAATAAATATTATAATATCTATATTTTGGCGAAACTACACATGAATTAAAAATTATAAAAGTTGAGCGAAGATGATAACAAGAGCATGCACAATCTTACAGGATTTATTCTCAACAATTATCGAGTACAATATTGGCGATACTGAGGAATTAAGCAAGGTAATAGATAATCTTCAACCTTCACATTTCACCAACTTGATATCATTCTCAGCAAAAAGTTGCGATGAAAGGATAAATAAATTTCTCTCACTTTTGATTAAGAGATCAAAAAAGCTTCAAGTTATCATCATTGAGCAATGCAAAACATTGGAACATTTGTTTGACCTCGAGGAACTTATGCCGGATGAGAATGGATTTGGTAAATATTTCACACAAATGAAGACGATGGTATTAATAGAACTACATCAGCTAGCACACATATGGAACAAAGATCCAACAGGAATTTTTGTCCTTGAAAATCTTCAAATTATACACATCAAAAGTTGCTCCTCTTTGAAATACCTATTCACTCCTTCTGCAGCTGAGAAACTTTCCCAATTAAATGAATTAAAGTTAGAGGGGTGTGAAATGTTAGAGACCGTTGTTGATAATGGTATCACTAAAACAATTAAGTTCCCAACATTGAGCAAGGTGGAGTTCAAGTCCCTCTCAAGTTTGATCAGGTTTTACCACCATGTAGAATTCCCAAGGTTGAAAACTCTAATGATAGAAAAATGCCCTATGTTGGAAGAATTCACATCTGGTTTTGCAACAACAGATGAATCATTCACAATTGAAGGGGAGTCTTTCTCTGAGTTGAATGAAGTCAAGATAGATAGTTGTGGCAAGTTGATTTGTGTTGTCTCTTCTAGGACATTACAAGAGTTGGGGAATTTGAAGAAGCTCATGGTTAGTCATTGTAATGCATTGAAAATGATATTCAACATTCATGGAGAAATATCTTATTCCAATACAGAGTTGCTACAACATCTTGATGAATTGATTTTGACTAATCTACCCAAATTAACTCACATCATCAACAAGAAAGTTGTTAGGTTCTGTCAAAAGATGCAAATCTTACGAGTGAGCCAATGTGAGTCCATTGATTGGTTACCAATATCTCTAATGCTAAGACATATGGAAATCTCTAATTGTGGGGCCTTGGAAAAAATCCTGATGTTCGATAAAGAAGAAGGAAAGGCTACATTTTCTCAATTGAAGTTTATTTTCCTTGAAAACCTAATAAACCTCTCGATTGTCTTTCCTTTTGCATCTGAATTTCCATCCTTAGAAATATTGAAAATAAAAAATTGCCCCACACTAATGACTTTTGTTGAAGTGTCCAATGAGCTGAAAGATCTTCAAGAATCTTGTGTGTCAAGCTATTTCTTTCCAAATTCTGTAAGTTTCGAATTAAAATTTTTGATATTTATAAGCATGTGTGTGTATATGATAAATATGTAGGGAATATATCTAGTGAAATTAAATTCTACATCAAAATAAAAAGAAAATAACATTAATCATTCAATTTTATCATGAATAGCCAAGATTTAAAAAAACAAATAAGTCATGTGATGTTTTTAAGTGACCATCTTGATTTTTCGCATGTGATTATATAACTTAAATATACTTTCTTAGTTGATAAATCTCCCCAACACACACCTATGTGAATATGTGTGTCTCTCTCTATATATATTATTTATATTAGTTTTATTTAATATTTGTACAAATGATGGATTGGAAGTATGGATTTGAGTGATATATTTGAATGGCATGAAATAGTGCAATATTGTCCACTTTTGTTAGTTTTATTATATACATAAACTATATTTTAAAGTATTGTATTCATATTTGTTCTTAAGATGAAAAAATTTATAAATTTAAATTTTTTTGAATTATTGGTATTTGAATTATTTTAATTTTTATTATTTTTAAAATATTTTATTTGAATAAGTTAATTTAAATTTTTTAAATTTTAAATTGTTAGGTTAGATAATAATTTAATTGTATTATGATAAAATTAATTTTAAAAATATATTTATATGTTAAAATTTTTAAATTAAATTTTATAAAAATAAATATTAGCTAATTTTTAAATATTTAATAATTTTAAAAATTAATATTAGATCATATTTAATAATTT